CACGGGCAATTGAAAAATTCCATATGGAGATTGTCACGACTTTTTCCTGAAGACCCATTGGATGAGGCCCCGCTAGTTGACCTAGATGACCTGGTTGACCTTACGAAGGATGCGACACCACTGGATGACCTCAAGTTGGTTGTGACACAGCTAGATAACGCGAGGAATGTTGTTATATCCCTGTATCACTTGATTAGTACCGATAACCGATGGGTATTTTATGAATGGCAACGAATGATTGATATTAAGATGGCTGTGGTACCAATAGAAGGCGTTGAGAAAGCTGTGATAGAGATGGAGACATCAGGAATGTTTAGACAGTTTTGAGGAATTTCCGGGAGGTTTTATCGCTACTGAATGCCATTAAGGCGACTGCAACACTGATTTAGCAACCATTGAAAAGCTTCAGATACATCACAATATGATCAGATGACATCAGGAAGTCAGCGACACAGCTGGATGACTTCAAGATGAATGCGGCAGATGTCTGATCGCTTCTTGAAAATTTCGATCACCGCTGGATCGGAGGCAGAACTCTAGGCCTTGGAAGGCCGCTGCCGCTGGATATTCTCTAGGAGGCTTCAGCACATTTGGATTGCCTCTGAAAGACTTTGACTACCGCAGGAAGGTTTTTGAGAGGCTTCATTTACCGCTGGGTATCCTTGGGAAGGCACCGGCTACCACGAGTCGGCGTCTTGAAGACTTCGACCATCCCTGGAAGGCCTTGAAGGCTTAATCACCTTTGGGTTACCTCTGTAAGACTTCGGTCACCCCTTATGAAGGGCTTAAAGAAAGGCTTCGACTACCTATGTTTCGAAACTTGCTATATATACTTGAGAAGGCTTCAATCACCTCTGGATTTCCAAAGGAGGGTTTCGATAACCACTGGATCATCTTATGAGGAATTTCACCACAGCTGAATCATACAGAGAAATTCCACCACCAATATATCAACTCGGCTGGACTTCGACCTCCATCACCGCTGGATCACCTTAGGATGACTTCGATAACCTCTTTCGGAAGACTTCTAAAGCCACTGGATATCATTGGAAAGACCACGAAAAAAAAATTAAACTGGAAGGCCGCATGAAAGCTAAAACGACCACTGGCTGGCCTCAAAAGACTTCGACAACGAATGAAAAGTTCTTAGTAGCCGGATGACCTTTGGCACGAATCAGTGAGCATCTGGCTTCACCGCCCTGCTGGGAGCGGCCTCCAGATACCTTGCAGCCATGAGGGAGATTAGCCTTTGTTGTGATAATTCTTGAATTATGCCGTCCCTGGTGCAAAATTGTGATAGATCATAGGTCGTTCGGCTCTCTTATTTACACGCTGAAACGACTCGCATGATAAATATAACTGGATATATAGTTTATTATTATTATTATTATTATTATTATTATTATTATTATTATTATTATTATTATTATTATTATTATTATTATTATTATTATTATTATTATTGTTGTTGTTGTTGTTGTTGTTGTTACTATAATTATTATTATTATTTCTGAAACTATTACTGCTAATATTACCTCTGCTACTGTTGATGGCATTGCTGTTCATGATGCTACTATTACTGTTGCTATTATTCTTGCTAGTACAGCTGCTGCGACTGCTGCTATGACTGGCACTGCTTTTACAACTGCTGCTACAACTATTACTACTACTACAACTATTACTACTACCACCACTGTCTAATGACGGGACGATACCATTTTTTTTACCGTCACTGATATTGATATTTTCTTATATTTTTTTTATTTTAAAATTAAAAGGACCGACCCGCCGATCCCGATACTGTGGCACATCCCTAACCACTAGCACTACTACTCTGACTTCTGCTACTACTACTGCTAACTACTACTACTACTACTACTGCTACTACTACTACTTCTACTACTAATACTACTACTTCTATTATTACTACTACACCTATTACTACTACTACTACTACTACTGTGCTACTACTACTGCTACTACGACTGCTACTAGTTCTACTACTAATACTAAGACTGCTGCTGGTACTACTACGACTGCTACTGGTACTACTACTACTGCTATGACTGCAACTGGAGCTGCTACTACGACTGCTACTGTTACTAGTACTACTACTATGCCTGCTACTAGTATTACTACTATGCCTGCTACTAGTACTACTACTGTGACTGCTACTGGTACTACTGCTATGACTGCTACTAGTACTACTCCTATGACTGCTGCTGGTACTACTATTACTGCTTTGACTGCAACGGGAACTACTACTACGACTGCTACTGCTACTAGTACTATTACTGTGACTGCTACTGGTACTACAACTGCTACTGCTACTATGACTGCTACTGGTACTACGACTGCTACTGCTACTAGTACTACTACTGTGACTGCTACTGGAACTACGAGTGCTACTGCTACTAGTACTACTACTATGACTGCTACTGGTACTACGACTGCTACTGCTACTAGTACTACTACTGTGACTGCTACTGGTACTACGACTGTTACTGCTACTATGACTGCTACTGGTACTACGACTGCTACTGCTACTAGTACTACTACTGTGACTGCTACTGGTACTACGACTGTTACTGCTACTATGACTGCTACTGGTACTACGACTGCTACTGCTACTAGTACTACTACTGTGACTGCTACTGGTACTACAACTGCTACTGCTACTATGACTGCTACTGGTACTACGACTGCTACTGCTACTAGTACTACTACTGTGACTGCTACTGGTACTACGACTGTTACTGCTACTATGACTGCTACTGGTACTACGACTGCTACTGCTACTAGTACTACTACTACTATGACTGCTACTGGTACTACGACTGCTACTGCTACTAGTACTACTACTATGACTGCTACTGGTACTACTACAACGTCAGATATATAAGGAGAGTATTTTTGCATCATGTAACTGCTCGACCTGAACGAAGAGTTGTGAAACTTGTGTTAATTGTTCATTTACCCGAACTTCTAGACCTGAACGAACAGTTGTGGAAGCTGCCTTATTTATTAACTTATATAAACCTGTTGACCTTAAAAAAAGACGTAGATACTTAAACACTGTTATTATTATTATTATTATTATTATTATTATTATTATTATATTATTATTATTATTATTATTATTAACATTATTATTATTATTATTATTATTATTTTATATTATTATTATTATTTTATTATTATTATTATTATATTAACATATTATTATTATTATTATTATTATTATTATTATTATTATTATTTTTTAACAAGTCGGCCGTCTCCCACCGAGGCAGGGTGACCCAAAAAGAAAGAAAATCCCCAAAAAGAAAATACTTTCATCATCATTCAACACTTTCACCACACTCACACATAATCACTGTTTTTGCAGAGGTGCTCACAATCACAATATTTTTTGTACAGTTAAATGGTCAGATACTCGTAATTATTATTATTATTATTATTTATTATTATTATTATTATTATTATTATTATTATTATTATTAATGTTGTTGTTGCTGTTGTAATTGTTAAGGTTGTAATTGTTAATTGCAATGGCTTTAATTGTTAACTGTAAAGGGTGTGATCTGTTAACTGTTAAGGCTAAACTTGTTAACTGTTAAGGCTGAACTTGTTAACTGTTAAGGCTGAACTTGTTAACTGTTAAGGCTGAATTGTTTAACTGTTAAGGCTAAACTTGTTAACTGTTAAGGCTGAACTTGTTAACTGTTAAGGCTGAACTTGTTAACTGTTAAGGCTGAACTTGTTAACTGTTAAGGCTGAACTTGTGAACACAGATGAGAGAAGAACCTGCACATTTAAAACTAAATTAAAAACCTGTCACATCAAAAATTAATGGCTGGTTATTTCTATAAAATCCTAAGTAATCTGATGGATGTTTTGATTGTCAATTAAAATAGTAACAAGACATTTTAAATGATATTATATATATTAAATTATATATATTAAATGATATATATATATATATATATAAATATATATAAATTTTATATATATATATATATATATATAATATACATATTTATATGTGTGTGTGTGTGTGTGTGTGTGTGGTGTGTGTGTGTGTGTTTTGTGGGTTGGTGGATGGTGTTGTGTGTGTGTGTGCGTGTGTGTGTGTATATGTGTGTGGTATGTATGTTGGTGAAACCATACCAGGTGACCTTCCTGCTTAACCACAGAGCGTAGAGGTCACGGAAAAAGGTCAGTCCAGGTCAACATAAGTCTCTACAATGGCGGGATTAATATCAGGAGTTAATTTTCTCTTGTAGTCTTCTGTGTGTTAGACTCGGGTTCCCAGACTTTTTTTCTTTGGTAATATAAAAATAATATGACATACAACTCGAGTTACGTGAGCCCTTTCGTGTTGAAGATTTGGAGATAAATATTTCGAAAAAAATTATTCGTGCTTCAAGCGTTGTAAATAAGGTGAGGAAGGTATAAAGAATGAAAGCAATATATAAAAATTGTGGATTTTTTGGTGGGAGAGAGAAGAGGTCATGACCTGGTGCAGTATCTCAGCCTAACCTGTCCTACTGATGATTATAGTCTCTTGACGTCTGAAGGGAAGTCAGCCTCTCAGACAGCAGTCACTTTTTTTTATCTTTTAACTATTACTAATGATATAAATGTGGAAGACCAACTTGTCATGCATCAGGAACTTGTGTGACCACTTGGTTCATTGTCTGCCTTTCCACTTCCCCTTTCCACTTCCTTTCCCTCTCCTCCTCCTCAATCACCGTCTCCGCCTGCATTATCCAAGGCGGCTGGCTGACAGGCCACCTGTTCGTCAAGTCGGCCACCTCAAAAACGCATCTGGTGTACCCGGATGCTGAGGTCACCCACTATGAGATGAGTTCTTGCTCAGGGCAGAAGGAAAAGTCAATCCGCCCGAGAACTTGTCCTACAACTTTAAGGAGTGGCCCTCAGGACCTTGGGTCACTCCAAAAGAAGAATGAACAAAAACGGCGGCTGAGGATCAGGGATGCCCTGGCAGGTGGGTGTATATAAGCTCGTCTTCGGCAAGTCTGGCAGCATCCATCGTCTTGCCTTCACGCCCTCAACATCCTCCCTTCACGCTACCAACATGAAGCTCGTGAGTAAACATTGCTGGTAAATCTTCGCCTTAACGAGGGAAAAAAAAAACAACTAT